TATATATATATATATATATATATATATATATTCCAAACAAAACTGTGAGTCTTTTAGACAGAAATGTCTTAGATTCATTATTTTTAAACATTAGATTGCATGGGCTGAACATGAAAGAAGGTTCTATCCCTGCAGCTCTCCTTTATAGGATTCAATACAAAGTCATGAACACCTGCAACTCAAGGGTTTTACTCAAAACTACTGATAGGGAAACCACCTTGTTTGTCACGGACATGACAAAAGCCGATGTGGTTGTTCCCAAACTCATCAAGTGGGATGAGGTTGAATTACCTACATCTTGGCAAATCGACAGGGCAACACCAACCCTTCCTAGACAAGCCCCTGAATTCCAAGAAATCAGGCAATCTGAGGCTGGCAAAGTTGAAATCATTTTTGATCGAAGAAATTCTTTCTCTTCAAGATCAGAAGCTACTAGATCTGAGTATACTAGTGCTAGGAGATCTTTTTCTGTAGCATCTCACTCTAGTACGAATTTTGTTCCTAGGATCATTATTCCAGAAACCAATCTTCATGGATTAGACAACTCATCGTTCATTCCTAGAACTATTTATAGTAGGGCTGAAGAAGAAACTTTATCCGAGATTCACTCCCCTACTCAATCAGAAATGCAGTATGGTCACTTATGAATAGTTACACCATAGAAAAGCCCTCCCTTCAAAAGGAATTCTACTTTGACGTTTGGACACCTTAGAGAAAGTGGTTCCTTAGCAATTTTAAGAGTGATCATAGATCAAAAATCATAGATTTATTCTATACTTTCCTTAACAATGTTCAAACCCATGTTTGTTTCTTTGACTGGCTTAATGCATACCTTCTCAGAAACAAAATCGTAAAGATGGTAAGTTAATTAAATCTGATCTTCCTCCGAACAGTAGTTATTTCATCCCAAACTTAGAAGACAAATATCTAGCCTCGCCCTTTAAGTACAAATCGGACGAAACCATAGGAGCTCAGGATATTAAAGCCCTTATGGAACAAAACAACTATACCAACAAGTATCTCCAAGTTTTAGGAGAAAGCCTTGTAGGAAAAGCTTCATCCTCTGAAACCAAGGATGATGAAACTCAATCGATGACCAAACCTTTATTCAAGCCTTTTAGTCTAACTAGCCAAACTAGAAACAAGTTTAGAGCCATCCACCAAAATTGGACAAAGACCTTAGAAGACTCCAATAAGGTTAAAGATAGCTCAATCATTATCCCTGATACCCCTAGTTCTTCTCATGTTGGATCTGTTAAAACAGGACCGATTACTAGGAGTATCTCCCAGAAAGATCAATCCCTTAGGATTAACAAATTAGGAACTTCCTCTATAGGTCCTGATTCTGAAGAAACTGAGCCTAGTAGTAAATCTGTTCTTCAAGTTAATCCTATTATCAATAAGGCTCTTAATTGGAGGCAGCCTTCTAAGCTCTATTATAATTGGGCCACTGCCCCTGATCTCTTGCTAGAAGAAAAGAATGATCAAAGTTTTCGGTCATTCAACGCCACTAACATCTATGAATGGAACATAGATGGTTTAACGGAGTATAACATTCTCAATACTCTCCAACATATGACAATGGTTTCTACAGCTTATCAAACTGCTCTTGATAGTGCTGACGAGGCTATTATTGAAATCCAGACGTCTAGATTTTCTAGACAACTCAAAGGTTGGTGGGATAATTATGTTTTTGAAGAAGAGAAACATGAAATCCTTACGGCTGTCAAAACTAATACTGAGGGTAACATCATCACCACTGCCAAAGGAGAATCCATCCCTGATGCTGTTAATACCCTTATCATGGCCATTGTTAAACATTTTCCGACAGAAAATTCTGTCAGAAATTTCCGACGGAAATATAAATCCGTCGGAAATTTCTGACGGATCCATATCCGTCGGAAATTTTCCGTCGGAAATTTACATTTTTCTTGTAGTGTTAGTCATGCACCAAATAGTCATTACTCATGATAAAAGATATGCATTTAAGACTTTATGAAGTAAGTCTGTATGTTTCGTCTGATGATGCATCGTCTCTCTAAAGGTATGCATCTTATACTTCATTTGATTTGTATTTTGCAAAAATATTTTTCCTTTATAAAAATATCTTGTTTGTTATAAATAAAACTTGAAAGCTTGAGAGATTCAAGATTGTTCTTTAACCTAACACTTACCTATTGTTAAATTTTGAAAATTTGCAATTTTTGGTAACAAAAAGTATAGTTTTAGAGCACTTAGTATCTACTATAGACATAAAGGCTTTTAGGGATGATATTCAAGCTTTTGCTTCTTTACCCTACCTCATATTTATGCAAAAAAACATTCTTATGTCGGATATGCAGATTTTTATAGGAAGAAGGTCATGTCGAATTTCCATAAATTAGTCTTGTCATTATCCAAACATCTAAAGTAGAGGAGCATGTGGAGAAGGAAATGGAGGATCTTCCTTTGATCAAATCATGATAAATATCATGCAAATTATCTTCCTTTAATTATTTTGCACTTGTCTCTTGTTTTGGTAGCATTATATGTTTCCTATGAAGCATTTTGTGCTTACATTGAAGACAAGAGACAGTATGAGGGAGTTTTACCCCACTTTGATTCTAATGTGCATTGTCTTTATTGTTAAATTTATTCTTACATTGAGAACAATGTTAATTTTAAGTGTGAGGGAAATTTGGTGTTTTAGTTTTTATTTATAAAAAAATTATTATTTTTTGTATTTTGTATTTGTTTCCATTTTTTGTGTTCTATATATGTATTTGTTTTATATATGTTAAAGTATATTATTTATGTACCAATTTCTATATTCTGTTGTTATATTTTTCTCTATTTTCTGTATTTGTTTTGTCACTAGTGGAAAACGAGGCCTTTACGTCACCTCTTTCTCATTGGACTTAACAAAAATCAACGTAAAAAAGATGTTAAACATTTTTGTAATTTTTGTGAATTTTTTTACGTCGGACCTAATAGGGTCTGACATAAAATGTACAATCTACGTCGGACACAACATACAACCGACGTAGATTTTACATTTTACGTCGGACTCTACCAAGTTCGACGTGAAAAAGTAGCAAAAGCAAATAAAAGGAGTGCATGGGAGGCACAGGCATGCACGTACTCACTCGGATCTCATCACTTTTCTAGATTCTTCTCTGCAAACCCTCTCCCTCTCCTTTGTTGCTAAATCGTTTTCTCTATCTTCTGCAGAGTGGGATAAACTCTTCGTTACTCGTTTGCACATTGTTGCAGCTCAAGTATGAATCGCTAACACCTTTTTGCTTCGCATTGCTATTGTGGCTATTTGTTCTATTTGGTCTTTATGTTGTTCTATTTGTTTGGGTTGTTGGCCTTTTCTGCTGGGTTGTTCTATCAAGCAGAACGGCCCGTTCTGCTTGCATTCGTTATGTTTTTTTTTGTTTATAACTTTTTTACGTCGGATCTTGGCAATGTCCGACGTAAATTTACGTCGAATTTCACATCTAACGTAAATTTACGTCTCCTGCTTTAACGTTAGACTTTTTCTGACGTAAAAAACTTAAAATAACCAATGTAAATTACCTCTTTTGTACTAGTGTGTACTATATTTTTGTTCTATTTTATGTATTTTTCTCTTTTTTTATTGTTTACCATTTTTGTTTTATTTTTGTATTTTTATTGTTTTGCTGTATGTAAAAAAATTCACACTTAAAGACAATACAAGTAATTTTTTTTTATAGTAATTCAACAACACTATCAACCATCCAAACATAAAAAGAATTTGAACCACATAAAACATCATCAATATCCTCTAAAAACTAAAACTCACTTGCAACAACATTATCAACACAATCAATCCCCTTATAAGAAGGACTCAAAACCCAAAACACCAACATGGACAATCTTCCAAAACTCAACATGATCAAATTGGCTTTCCAACACAACATTCAACATTAAACAACAAGGAAACAAACTTCCTTGAAGCTAAAATCGGAAGAAAACGGAAAACACCAAAAAAATTAAAGGGTCAAATTCTCTCCTCAAATTCTAACTCACTTGTTCTTGTGATTTCTCACCCCCTTTGATTCTCTCCTATCTCTATGTTTGGCCATGCACAAGTATTGCTCTTTTTCTTTCAATTCTCCTCGTCTCCTCCCCCACCACCAGTATTATTTATTCAAGTAATCAATGTTAAATACTCATTTTTAACTTTATCAATTTTTGGATATTGAATCAATTCTTGAACATGGAATCAAACATGTAAAAATTTACTTAAAGTCGGTGTGTATTTCAACAAGATTATGAAAAATCCATCAAAAAGTCAATCACACACTTAATATGTTAAAACATACAAGAACAAATTAATTTTCCTGATCTGAAACAAAATATATTCCAAATTTCTCAATCCTTTGGTAGGATTTATTCTTGCTACACTTTTGGATCACATGTGGCCATTCAATGGATGGTTGTTTAAGTAATATATGAGACTTATGAATTATATATACGACAAAGACAACAGAAAAACAAGAAAAGCAAAAATGAATTTCCACTTTTTGGCACATAAATATATATAGTATATATAATTGAAATTAAACCCTTGACTAGACTACAATTAGCTTCTCAACCATTAAGTGAAAGCCCTAATTGCAAACCACCGTGCAAAAGTAGCATAGGTGTGCATCGTCCTTTTCTACGTACCACCAATATTACCAGATTACAAAGTTACTCAGAAGATGCACCATAAAGACATACTAGAGGTACATAAGCAACTTAAACTCTCAAAGCCCTAATAATTATTACAACTTATTTTTGTACCAGTAAACACCTTTGGCCTTAGACTCTTCATCAGGCTCAACATACATGCACTCCTTTGCCTCTCTCCACATTGCCTTATAAATGGGAGTCCCATCAAAGTGATAGTAATCTCCCAAAATTGGCCTTATAGCCTTGGTGGCCTCCGTAGCATGGTAATGAGGCATCGTAGAAAACAAGTGGTGTGCCACATGTGTGTCTGTTATATTATGCAAAACCTTATTCAAAATCCCATAATCTCTGTCCACAGTGGCCAAAGCACCTCTAAACCAGTCCCACTCAGAGGAATCATAGTGAGGAACCCCAGGGTGAGTGTGTTGCAAGAAAGTGATCAACACCAAAAACCCATTAACCACTAGCAATGGCACCCCATAAACACATACAACCCAAACTAGGCCTTTCAACATCACAGCCTTGTATAGCCCATAACACATAGCAAGAATTCCAGCATCGGATATATAAATTTGAAGCCTCTCACGATCCGTGTAAATGGGGCCATAAGGGTCATAGTGGCATGCAAATCTCTCATAAGGCCTTCCTGAAACGTTGAAAGCCAAGTAGAGAGGCCATCCAAGAGTTAGAGTAACAGCAAGTGTGAGAACTCTCCCTAGTGGGTTGTTAAGGTACTTAGAGTACCAACTCAATGCAGATTTTCTCTTTGGCACAAACACTTCATCTCGCTCAAGGGAACCCGTGTTGGAGTGGTGACGACGGTGACTATATTTCCACGAAAAATAAGGAACAAGAAGAAATGAATGGAGAACGAGACCCACTAAGTCATCGAGCCATTGGTAATCGCTGAAAGCATGATGGCCACACTCGTGTGCAATGACCCAAACTCCGGTTAGGACGCAACCTTGCATGGCCCAATAAAGGGGCCATGACAAGAGGAAAAGGTTGTGGGGAAGGGTAGAAAAGTAATTTATTGCTACGTAGGCGAGACATGAGGCTATGGTAAGGTCGTAGAAGACATAGGAAAATGAACGAATCACAGAACGCTGAAAACAGTGCGGTGGAATTGCCTTCTTCACTTGGCTGAGACTAAACGGAGGCTTTCCATGTGGGACACGTTTCTTGGCTTCTTCCCCAGAATTTCTCTGCTTAGGAGCAACAGAACTTCGGCCACCACCTCCCATATTCACACAACCTGCACATAAAAAATAAAAAAAATTATTTTGTTTAGTACTATAATAATCCTAGGATCATCAACTGTTAAACTCGAACCACGTATGATAAGAATGTAACATGTGTGATGGCCAAGGCAATTGGAGTTTATAAAGACTTGAAAACACACCAAATCAACCAAATGGGGTATGGCTAAAACCTTTTGAAATAATCGACAAAGTGCAACAAATGGTTACGCAAACAATAGGGCACTTACAAGGAAAATTTGTTCAGTTTTTATACCTGACGTGCAAAAACGCTGAACGTGTGCTAATCAGAAACTTTTTCTATCTTGGGCCAGAGGCTTTGCATTTACCATCTTGTCTAAAATTCAATAGGGTGTTTATATAGGCAAAAGACTTAATCATGTATGGGTCGAGTTCGTAATTGTATATATTTCGTACAGGAAAAGAAAAAAAGTGGTTGTAGATAGTTATTATGCAGTTAATAAAATTTAGATACTTAAAGAAGATAAATGATATAGATTTTTGATAAAATAAAAGAACTAAAACGACCTTCAAAAGCGATATATTTATTCTTTATATGATGGTATATATGGTATAGATGACATTAAAAGAAGAAAAGGGTGCACCACTTTAAATCGTTTTTTAATTAAAAAAATATGATTTCATCACACACTTGATAAAAAAAAAAAAAAATAGTGTAAGAGTTTGATATGCAAACAATTTTCCAGGTTCCAATATTTTGCATACGCACGTTTTATAATCCTTTCTTGTTCTGATCTAATTTTCTCTTGTCTCTTTCTTTTAAGTTTTGGTGAAGTATTAAAAGTTAATTAATTTTTGTCCACTTCATGGTAGTTGCTACATACGTGTCAAATTTATGTGGAAGATGGTAAACACTTAACATAATAAAAAACAAGTTAAGTAGCTTGCATCCACAGAACAAATGCGAACACGACCAACTACAATGAACATATCCAAACGAAAACAAATTGAAGCCGTGCAAATTTAAAACTACTATTCAGGAAATTACTCATTGCAAGAAAGTTCAAAACATAGAAAACTAGACGCGCGGAAAGCATGAATCTTTTTTTAACCATTTGCTAAATTCTGTTCAGTTGTGGGTAGGGCCAAAAGCCGAAAAGGATAAGATAATTTATATATTAAAGTAATTTGATAAGGAAATTAATAATAATAATATAATATCATAAAAACATGGTACTACTATATAATCACATGGGAATTAAGCATCGCGTGGGTAGCTAAGAAATCATATTTTTATAACGAGAAAAGTTAGTAACATAGTTTCAAATACTTTTTTAATATACTTTTTCTTATTAGATGGAAATCGTGCATGTTTCGTGTTGAAAATGAATTCCACAACACAAACCACCGTCCTCTTTTCATGTTCAATGATCAAAATATATGAAACTCCTCCTTCTTTGTCTCTGATGGACTTGAATTATATAGAGTAGAATGTGGAAAGCAAACATGCTTGAAATATGTGAGCTTCTTTCTTCATTTGATATATAATTTATCAATTCCCAAATTAATAAAACTCACATAAATTTTAGCTAATAAAAAAAAGAGAAAAAAATTAAACACTCATATTATAAAGTAGCTTTATTTTTATGTCGTTAATTAATTATAAATTATTATATGTAGTAAATTTGTTGATTTTTATGATAATTATCTTAAAAATAATGTAAATAATAACTTTTATTGGTTGAGAATGTAATTTTTTTCCCGACTGTTAAACGCACACAAAAATATTCATAAAAAGTTAATAAAAAAATATGTAAAAAAAAGTATTAAAGAGTTGTTACTTGACACTTTTCTTTTATAAATGTTCTTGTTGTCGTTGAACTGTATCCTTGGATTGCAAGTTGCAACCGTTCAATAAGAGCCACATACATCAAATAAAAGTAACCACAAGTGACCATTTTAATCATAAGAAAACGATCATCCACCAAATTGAAAAACAAAAGGCATAGATCTTTTCAAGTTTCTTTAGAAAATATCATGTAGTATATATTATAAACAAATTAAATATTGAGTCGAATTGGACTAATTGACATAAAAGATAAAATATTTATTAATTTAACAAAAATATTTTTAATAATATTTTCACATTAAAAGCTCTACGTCATACTCATACCATCACTTTCTTATTAAAATATACAAAACAAATATTCTCATATATCTTCGTTATCTTTGTCTAACTTAAAAAAATATATTAAATTATTAATATAAGTATCATTACTCAAAAAAAAAAAAAAAATCTACCCATTGTTTGAGAAGATTATCGTATTGGTTGGTACATACGATGAAAGAAAAAGACTCGCGAGAAAGCGTTACACTATCACATGATCCCATTACAGAACAACAAATAATCATGAAAAAGATGTTGTTCAAGGAGAACTTTCAAACGCAAACAAAAGAGCATGCATGCCCACAATATACAAGGTTTAATAACTTTTTATTTCTTACAATTTCATAAATTTTATTTTTTTAACTGAAAATATTCTTTTTTAACTTTGTGCATATAATTTTTGTGTTCTCTTAATCTCAATCATCTATTTCTATAAAGCTTACAAGGTAAAATTTACTAAATTATAAGAATCGAAAGAAAATAAAAATAATATATATAAAGATTAAAATGAAATATTTATAATTATGCGAATTAAAAAGTAAAGTTTGTGAAGTTATAAAAACTAAAACAAAAATCATTAAACAAGAATATAATGAGAACAAAATGTTTTTAATTAATTGCTTTCCCACTCACTTTTTCATCGCAATTCTTAATATTATAAAAATTATGAATAAATATGATTTGTATCATGGCAATTACTATTGCATTGCAATTACAGAAACAATAAAAGATCACCGATTTGAAAACCCTAGCTTGAACATTAACAAAAGCATGCACCTAGATGGTAAATAAACTTTAAAGGGAAAAAAAGAGAGACAAGAATTAGATCTAGAAAAGATACAATCATGAAAATAAGACTCGGCTAGAAACATGATAATTATATGTATTAGCATTGAAATCACAACAAACAAACAAAAATGGCAAATGAAAATAAAACAAACCAAGAAAGGCCATGAAATTGAAAGGAAGAAAACCTGAAACAGAAGGAGGGGTGAAAAAGATAGATATTCCTTCTCCCTGTGCGTCTGAGGGAGGGAAAGAGCAGCCAAAGAATTGAGAGTTAGAAGAGGGAAGAGAAGGTGTATGTATGCTATTATTTCTCTCCTCTAAATGCAAGTTCCCATAAAATGAAGGGACCCTCCCCAAATGTAGTGTTTTTATTTTTAGTTGTAGATGACAACATTTTTTTTTACTTTGCTAATAATATCAACTAACCTGTTTCTGTTATTTCTCGCACCATTTGATTGTCTACCTTTTACTATCTCAATGTATGACTTTCATTATTAGAAAAATGTCATTTTTTTTTGTAAATTTTTCTAAAAAAAATATTTGTAAATTTTTTTTACAAATTCTTTTCCAATAATAATTTCATAAAAAGAATTCACAAATTTATTTACGAAAAATAATTTACAGATATTTCTTATAAATTTTTTTATGAAAAATAATTTACAATTTTTTTTTGCAAATTTCGCTACAATTTTAATGATCATAAAAAAAATTTCCATAATAAAAATTTACAAAAAATATTGTAAGAATTTTATTTCATTTCTTGCATATTTTCTTGTAAAAATAAATTTGCAAGTAATGTTTACTAAATGGTAGAAAAATTTTACAGGTAACTTTTCTTACGGATTTTCCTGCCAATTTTAATCCGCAGGAAAAATAAAAAAATGCTTAAATTTATAAGTTTAATAATTAAAATATTTTTA